ACCCTTAATCCTGATCCATATCATTTATATTGGCTCTTCAGCCTCTCACCAAATAATCTGTCCTACGGCAGCCACGGATGAGGCCGCTGCACATGTAATCTGCACTTATAATGCAATTTGAGCCATGCACTACAACCTGTTAAACAACCAGTTGCTCAAATAAATGTAAAACCATTATTCAAATGAATGAAAACTCATCCAGACGATGTAGCTGTAGGAATTAAATTACAGTAGACAAACTCGATCACTATAAAGAAGGTGCATTGTGATTAGTTCTACCAGTCGTTCCTATGTAATATCATTTCAGCATAACTATTTCCAGGAGCCTTGCTAGGACCTTAGGACATCTGGCACTTAGCCTCAGTTCCAAGACTGAGACCATGGTTGATAAAATATCTGAGCTAAACAAATCTCTCTGGGCTTCAGTCCCCAGTGCCACAGTATCCAGCAAATCCAAACATCCAAAAAACCAAAATGTAAAACCAAAGCCTTATGTGATGTATGGGGGTGTATGTGATCTCATAACGCAGATTCTCCAAATGACTAGAATCACAGAGCATTCACTGGAAATGTGTAGTTCATCTGCCAATTTCAGAAGGCAGCATTTGAGAGACATCTGTCCAGATTCCTGCTGAAACAACCTGACCATGCAGAAACACTAGTGTTTTCTAAAATATCTTACGAGTTGCTCCATGTTACCTTTCAGTACTACTTAAGTACCTCATGAATATAAGAGCCATACTGTAGAGTGTAGTAATGTCAACTTTCTTGGTCTTTCATGTGAGTAACAGGAGTAAGTCAAAGTGATCACAGTCCAGCTTTAGCAAGTCCAGCTATATCATGATACTGTACCTAGACCTGCTGAGCCATTGTTTCTCAGCTGGTGGGTTGCAACCCCAAAGACACGGGACCATTTCAGTGGCTTGTGAAGTGTGTGTGTGTGTGTGTGTGTGTAAAAAAAAAATAAAAAAATATCATGTTATTTTTTAACAGTGCAGATCAGAATCCCCCTCCCCAGTCGGCAAATTTTTATATTTAAGGAGTCTATGTATATCATCTTGTTTTTCCATCTTTTGGGTTGCGACTTAATGTTCCTGAGGTTAAACCAGTTGAGAACTGCTGGTTTATGCAACATAATCTGATTGCCGTAAATGGGCAATGTTTTTAGGTCCTGGTTCAAACTCAGCTTTAAACTGGATTCAGTCTGATATACTGCATTCAATTCTTCATCTGAATAAGAAATGTAGGGGCTTGTGACAGAAGAGTTACAAAATTACTTGTTCAATCTCCACAACATTGAATCACTTGTGCACATCACAAAAGCAATGTCTCATCCTTTTGGATAAATTGCAAATACAACAGCACAGTCATCCACATGATTATGTACAACTGTCTGCCATTTCCTGAATCATCAATTGCTTATGCCATGTCAATCAAAATGTATTTTACTGGTTCTCTGTTGAATAGTGTAACCCAGCAAAACATCCAGCCATTGGTTCACTGCATAAGTCATTACATGCAAAATGGTTGAACCAGTTGTCATAATCTGTCAAGCATACTTTCTTTACATTCCTATTTGTCTTTTTTTTGAAAACGTGTCCTAAATTGATAAATTGCCCTCAGGTGAATGTTGACTTTCACCAATGGAGGGGAATGTTTGACGCGTTAGATCAACCAATGATCAACCCGTCCTCTAAAATAGCTCAGAGGTGTTTCTCATGAACCTTCAATTGGCAAGTACGTATTGACAGAGCATGACACAGTATTTCATTTTCTGCCAATATAGAATGACAGGGGAAATTAACAGGGTCAGCAGCTGGGGAAAAGGAGGAGTAAGGCTGCATGGTAGAAGGGTAGGAGTCAAACAGAGTAAGGCCAAGGACAGAGGCATGTTCCTGATGGAATAAAGGCCACAATGGTGGACCACGTTCTCAGATATGGTCTTAAAATGGCTGTGGTTGGTCGAGGGGTGCAGCTGAATTTTGGGAGAACAACCATGTCCTCAATTATTCTAATATTTCGTAGAGACAACAGGTTTGTAATCCAACAATATGTACTGTACCATAATATTGTATACTTACTGCAATGCTTCCTATTACAGTATACAGTAAAATACTTTACAGAAATACTGTGAATAAACTGTACACATACAGTAATGTGCAACTTTGTACTGCTGAAATTGATATATGTCATACAGAAAAAGTGCAGTCTTGTGCATTTTCAGTCACTATCTCAAAACCATAGCCATAGTTTACATTGGTACATACTTACAGAGTACACTGTTATATCCACAACATGGCTAAGCATTTTGACCATCTTATTTGTTAGCAATAACATTCTGATGTAACTGACATGTTCTTCGACATAAATATTTACTCAGGATTTTGAGCAAGTTATGGCCTCCTATAAATAATCCATTGTGGTGCCATTTATACTAATTGTTACAAGAAATGCACATACTGTATTGGTTTGTAATTAAGGATGAATTGAAAAATGTTCCAAAGCGACAGAGAAACACACTAATGTAGGTCTGATACTACAACTGGTTCCCTCTTCCAATGTTCCCTAAACACCCCTGAGGAGACCCCAGCACCGTGTCCCCAAAACAGGGAATAGAGACAGAATGATGCAGCATGAAGCCTCTTTATCCTTCTTTTCCTGAAACTGGGCAGATACACAGATGAGCTTCAGGGGCCAAGGAGCTATGCACAAACGCTGCCCCACAATGTGACAGTGAAATGGAAAGGAGACTCAAAGTAGGCAAGATGAACCCTACTTAAAAAAAAATGACAGACTTGAAAGCAGTAAACAGAGACACAAGAAAACTGTTTGTCATTTGATAAAAATGACATTACAAAGACATGATCGGCGATGTAGTAATGAAGCTGGTTATGCTGGTTCATCAGGAAATACTTGAAAAAATAATGAGATCACCTCTCCTCACCATAGAGGCCTCTAACAAGGCCTGATAACTAGCACTCAAGCAGACACTTAACCCGAAAAGTAGAAAATGGTTCCACATGCAAAGGAACACTCAAAACTGCTGCATATACCAGTCAAAAGTTTGGACACGCCAAGCGGCCTACAAAGTGTAGATCAGAGGGATTGCATCACATACCTGCCACCTGACCTAAAGACAGCAGAAATGGTTTTAGGGGAGTTTGACCTGAAAGTGAAGGAAAAGCAGCCAATGAATGCTCAGCATACATGGCTAGAAAAGCATCCCAGGAGGCCACCTCATGTGAAACTAGCATTGGGGAGAAAGTGCGGTCAGCCAGTCCCAGGAGCAACTGGGGTGAAGGGCCTTGCTCAAGGGTCCAATGGTGGGATCACTCTGCCGAGCAAACCGAAACACCGAAAGAAATTATGCCAATAATTAGTACCATTGCATTTATGGCTATGACTGTGTACTAACCTTACTAAAATCAAGGCATTACGATTACATAAATTAATATTAAAGTTTCAAAGAATAAATCAGTTACAAATTATGAAAATATTTATTTAGCACATTGCACTCTCATATCCAGCATGGCGATCGGGATGTTTGGATTTCAGGTGGTAAATTAAACCCGACGTGGAGAAAGTCTTTGCAGAAGCACCCCCTCTTGAAATTTCGGCATTACATGTTTTGCAAATCGCTATCCGTGGGTCTTTCTCAGATGTATTGACAGGGCTGTCAAGTTTTGAAGACAGGCAAGAGTGACATTCCACAGGATGCCTTTTCATTGGTTGTTGTGTTGTATTTTACCCAGATACAATAGTACTATTTTCTGATTGGCTATTGTGTAGGCCCTTTCTTTTTTTTTAATTGGCTGGTACAGTAAGTGACAGGTTCTTGGGGCAAATCTTGTCCGACTTCAACGTCATAAAAGAGGCGTGTTTCCGACGGAAAGCGACGTTTTTCTTGACGTTTCGTGACATTTTCATCCGAGTTCCGACTTGGAGAGAAATAATCGAACGCACCATAATGTCACTCAACTCAGAATTTCCGAGTTCCGAGAGAAAAACGAACGCACCATTAGACTCCAGCGGAGACACGCTTGTTTTATAGTGAGGCGCTACTGTGCCGTGGTCTGGGGAAAAATTGGGCTCTGCGCCATATTAGCCTACAAATTATTTTTCCGCGTGAGAAATACAATGTGTGGCGGGAGTGCGTGACAAAAGATTGAAAAGAGTGACTGTCACTCTCTGTATTGAAATACGTCCACACCGCAGACATGCTGCTTCAGACAGGCACGTGCAGGCCCCGGTTTCTGTTTGCGTCATCACAACATACTGTTTCGGACGTGTTTTTCGGTGATAAAAATCTTTCGGCCGAATACCGAAAATGCACTTTTGGGCCATTTTCGGCCGAAAATTTTCGGTGGCCGAATATTCGGTGCATCCCTGCTTTCTATGGGTAGGTGAATAAAGTGTCACATAAGCATAATTAACTAGACTGCCTGAAACGAACGAGAATATAACAAAATAATTTGGTGAAATTGAGGGTGGATTACTCGGACTCTTAAAGGGTCTGAAAATGACCCCTTACAATGTTAGCGCAAAAGAGCTTGTACTGCAGCCTGTGCGACAGTACGGTTAAATGCAAAGACGTGAGCTGTCAGTAGCGGACAGCCTGACATAAATGTGTCGTGTGTGTCAATGGACGCCAGCACTCGCTGAGGCGCACACAGGAGCGAAGGCGCAGCTCCTTGAAGGTTCTGGGAGGCTCTTGCCAGCTCTCCTACAGGTATGACTCACTGTCCTCTTTACAGGCCTGAGAATGGCTGACAAAGCACAGGAAGTGAGAGAAACAGATAAGCGAGAGGCTCCTTACCATCTCTGCCATGTGGGAGAGGCCAAGGAAGAGATGAACAGAACGAAGGGGCTCAACTTCAAGAAGCCAGAATGACTGATTATAGTCCACATCAGTGCAGGAGGGGACGTCTCAGCCTCACCAAGGCTGCATCTCACCAACCCGACCACACATACACATACACAGTGATTGTGAGCCACAGAAACATTTTTTATACTGGTAACATTTAATCTTTAAGCCAAAAATAACATACAGGAGTACATCATGTTTAAATCAACAGGTATTTAAACAATCTGCACGACTGCATGCTTACATCGGATATAATTGTGCTAACACAAGGAAAGCAGCAATTACAGCCATTCCCCTCCCCCAAGTCACATGACATAATGAAAAAGATTCAAAAAGCTGTTCTCTGGAATAGCCTCCTTCTTTTCAGCTATTGTGTGAACCATGAACTCTCATCGGACACTGCGCAGCAGATCCATGAGCAGATTCAGATGTCGTTAAGATGACAAAGCGACAAAGAATGTAGCAGGTTCACGGGGGAGATACTCGTTATGCAGGGATCGCAGGGTACTGGCCGGCTTCTGCCTGCTTTTGGTGAGAATGTCCTGGCATAGTTACTCCTGCTGAGCGTGGCACGGCCCTGATTAGAAGTCCAGGTGCTTGTTGCTTGTGGCCAGACCGCCACAGGCCGAGCTCAGCAGCCTGGCGGATTCTGCCACGTCGGCTTTGCTCGAACGGCTCACCGTGTCTGACAAGTCTGGAGGCAAATGTAGTCTCTGCGAAGAGAGAGGGCAGGGAGGGAGAGAGGGACAGAGAAAGAGAGGGAGGAATGGAAGGACAAGAAGAGAGAGACAAATTGTCACAATTTTTGCTTTGAAGGAGCATTTAAATATGACAGGACACAATTATGCTCAGCATAGCGACGGCTGCAGATGTGCTGCCACTGTCTACACGCTGAACTCCTCATCGTTCTACACGGGCTTGGGTGAGAATTCAGTCCTTAACAAAGCACATGACACACGGCTGCTATATCGGTCTCGCAGCTGCAGCCAGGATATTAAACAAAGACAAATCAGCTGGAGTGTAAACCTACAGATAACACTGCACATTAAGTAACTGTTGTGGGGAGAGACAATAATTTCAGACAAATGCGTAAAAGCATTATATTCTGCATTATAAACCTTTAAAAGTGAACTGGGAAAACAATAACAAAAATAACATTACAATTTGAAATTTATTTCTAAACATGGCAGGATGTTGTAGAGGTTTATCATATGAAGACTAATTTGAGAAATTATACAATAAGGCAATTAAATAATAAACTTAAAAACCAGACAGAAACAATTAACATTAATTCACTTCAAATTTCTATCTGGATCCCCTGTATCTATGTGTGGGAAACCTATTAGCTCGTTGGTGGACCTTAAATGCTCGGTGCTCTCATTGCCTGAAGACCGCAGTCTCTGGCTAATACCAGAGTCATTAGAATGAAGAGGTTTACTGCACTCTTGATAAGCTGCTGCGCACCAGCGCTAATTTTCCTGAGCAGGCTAGTGCCAAGACTAGCAACAAAAGGACATTTAATAAGTGCCCTCTGCATAAATCCAGAGAAGGTAATGTACAAAGCATTAAAAGGGGTTAAGAGGGTTTCTTTCTGAGCCAGTATCAGGTTTGTGGCCCTTGGCACTTGACGAAACAATGTGTTGAGGGCTTTTCCTTCCTGGGGTTTGTGAAGGGCCTTTAATTTGCAGCAGGAGCCGCTGAATGAAGCTGGACCCTTCAAGCCACCGCCTCCTCCCCTCTGGCCATACAGATGGGGGGGGAAGGGGTCCTGTCCACACGTAGATGCTTATCTGGCCCCTAACAAAGGTGCTCGCCAGGCTCCCGCAAGTGTTTACATGGACACAAGTGAACAGCGCAGCTACAAGTGGATCTGGAGGAGCTTCGAGTGGCTGCCTGTTTCCGCAGTGCCTGCAGCACTCGGGCTGCTGGCTTGTTGGCAGCATGGACTCCACTTCATGTGCAATTGGACCGTTTAATTGTTTGTGCAGCGCTTTTCAGTGGATTGTCAGGCTGTGACTCCAACTTAAGTTAAGAAGGCAAAATGAAAAAGAGTAAAGGCAGCATGATGATGACCTCATTAATCTGAAGGCCAATCACACAGGCGCAGCTACTGGCCAAACTGTGGTATTTGATGGGATGACTCCCAGGCACCTCGCTATCCACAGCCCGTGGGGCTGACGGGCGCCTGGGTATTAGGGGTGCAAACCGTTGGGCCCAAGGCGATTTGATTTGATTACGATTATTGAGGAAATGACTCAATGCATCAGAAATCGTCCATTCCTATCATGATTCAAGGAAAACGAATCAATTATTGAAACCGTTTTTTAACTTCACAAAAAAAAATGTAAGATATTAACATGGGAAATTAATTATACACAATTAATGGAATACAAAGAAAGCAGAATCTAAGAAGATTCATTCATATCGTTATTATTAAACAGGGAGAGCACACCAATGTGAAATTGTCAAAAGGCCAACCACTGAACTGTAGGAGGAGAAAAAAATAAAAACATTAAAGGAAGCACTACCTGATGGGGGGAGTTTGCAGCGCAGATTAGCAAAAGTTACATTGTTTTTTTTTTCTTATGGGAAATGAAACATCATTCGTGGGCCAGATTAAATAATGCATTATAAATATGATGTGGGCCGATATTTTGACGCCTCTTCTAAGTGGCGAATGAGCCAATGAATATCCCTGGTCCTCCACTACAGAAAATGGCTGATGGTCCAATGCAGTCATTGCAATTATTTTAATAGTTGTGTCTTTAGCTCTGGTACTGCAATTTTGAATAATGATAAAGCTTAAATATCAGCCAGCGATATCGAACAACACTGACACATCAGACTGATGCCAATATTCAATTCAATCCAATTTATATTTTATATAGCGCCTTTCACAAGAACAGGGAAAAAGTATATCTTAATTTTTAACAATTATTGGCCAATACCAATATGTCATGCATCACTAAGGCTAACATTCATTTTTACTAGTTAGCTACCTCAGGGTCTTCACAATTGCTACTCTGCGAAAAGAACAACTTTTGTTGCACTACAAAACAGAGGCATTTTCCAAAAGCATTGAAGCACAAATATTATTTTAACAAGAGAGAGTGCTCTGCACTACAAAAGTTTCCCAAAAGTTTCAAAAATCATCAAAGTAGTGCTTCCTTTATGAATATTAATGAGCCTTAGCCTCCCATTCGACATTTCAGAAATTTGCATGCTTTGTGTGTGAATATGAGTGTGAAACCTGCACGTAGGAGTATCTTTATTTTACCCCCCAAAAGACGATTCTAACATTACAGACTGTTAGATAGAATTGCTGCCTTAATCATTAATTCATTGCAATGCATCTTTACACCCCTACTGGATGTCTATGGCCTGTGGCTTGAGGGGTCCTCCACCCAACTCTGCCACTCACCCTCATGTTAACACATTGGCTCCAAGCGACTCAGGTGTAATTAAGAAAGAAAAACAGTGCACTGTCATCTCAATGCAAGAATCAATACCAGAAGAGTACATACAGGACATACAGTGTAACTGTATCAAAGGGCATGAAGTGTGAATCAAGCAGGATTACCTATCAGCAAAAGAGTATCCCAGTGTGCACGAGGCTCCTGGGCACCCCAACTCGTCTCAAGAGAGGAGAGGAATCAATAGCTACAAATGCAGAGGTGGATAAAGCACCAAACTTAAACGCCACAGTGACTCTGCATGACAATGAAGGTCAGCCCTGAAGTGAATTTCAAGGGGCTGCAAGACTGCTGCGTACTCAAGGTACACTGAAGAGCGTATTCCATGTGAAACAACACATTCCCCCGCCCCGCCACCACCAGCCACCTCCCCACAATCTGCAGGCAGTTCAACCACAACAAATCCCTTTGTTCAAATAGACAAGGACATCCGCTAACCTCCAGGGCATTGTGCCACAGTCCTTCCCCACTGCCTGGTAACTGCCGCTGGGACAGCCACTCACTGGACCTGTCACTGTGTGAGCCATTGCGGTTGGAAACAACGGCTCTGAAAGCTACGAGATGGAGCCGACAGAGGAGAGATGAGGATCCGAGCATCTCTGAGATCACTGTAAGCTTTCTGTGTTTATTCTGGCAGGAAAATACATCAAATTCTAATTTTGGGTTTGTTTTCAAGTCACGGGGATCACATGGCCTTGATAAGCTGAACACATGGCTTGATAGATGGCTGAAAACAACGTTGGTTTAAAAAAGCCTGACAGCATTCATCTTGGTGATATGAAAAAAATTATATACATTTCAGAAAATAAAAAATATACATTTGAGGAAGTTTAGCAGATTGCTGACTAGAACATGGGTTAGCGAACAGCATGGAGAAAGGATTTGTTCTAAAAAGACATGCAACCATGCAGTGCACGGCAGAACCCGAGGAGCAGGTTCTGCAGAAGCAGGGAAACGCTAGATGATAATTATGCAGAGCCAAGTTATAGGAACAAAAATAAGGGGGTTTATCAATAGGCCACAATGAATGAGAGCTCCAGCTGAAAACAGCATTTGGTCCCACAGCTTCCCATGTGTTCGCAGTGTCACCAGCTATGAATAAAATGTCACACGGTGACGTGTGCTGGCTCGTTTGCGCAGCGCCTGGATACTGTGGCGACGGAGGCACACCCAGGACCTCTGGATGGTGGACGGGCAGCGGGGCGAGCGCCCAGCAGATGGAGGAGAGCGATTGCATGGGGGGGTCGCCGCATCGCACCACGCTCTGCATTCATGGCTTTTGAATCCCCGCCCAAAAAGACAGACAGATAGCGGCCCAGGCCTGGGGGCCTCGCTCCTGGGCTTGGCAGAGGCGCAGGCTCCACCGTGCGTCGGGGATGCAGGCCCAGCGAGCTCTGGGGGTCAGGATGGCAGGCGCTAATCACACTACTTTTTTGTCCTGCCTCCCACCTGTGGACACCCGTGAAGAGGAGAGGCGAAAACAAGCCCCACGCACTCTACACACCATCTACATACATAAATGTGGGAACAACCTACACATCTTACAGAATTACACGCAATCCTACAATTTAACCATACTGCAGGAACACCCGTTACAGAAAAAGAGTAAACATATGACTGTGCAATGGGGAAAATAAATAAATAAATAAAATGGTCATGACTCCTAATTGCATGCCAAGAGATGTTTTATGTGTGAAACTAAAATTTCTAATTAATAATTCTAAATTCAATGTATTAATAGCTTTCTTACAGCGTACAATTTTAAACATTAATGCTGAAATTAAATACATGATTTAAAAATCAGCTAAATTTTGGCAAATTCACTAAAGTGACACATTGTGAAGAACGAAGAGAACCTTTAAGGGGAAAAAAATACAACTGACCATGTACCCATCATATTAGCATGTACATATTATGCTATCATGAAGCTCCTTTGGTGTATGGAAATAAGAGAAGGCTGTGAAAAATTATATTTTTAAAATCCAGTGTGAAAATAATATCCTCATAAAAACCTGAACGTGGAACAACATTATGAACCAGTTGTAAAAATGCATAGAATTCCCACACTTAGGAAGCTCTTAGTAAAACGACTACATTGGATTATAAGGGAAAAAAAAAAAAAAAAGTTAATCAGATGCAGTTAAAACTGGAAATGGCAACACAGATGGAGGAAATCATATTCCAGACGTCTGCCTCAAGAGGAAAGCAAAATCTGCTATTGCTGTCACTGCAAAAGCATA